AATTTATATTTATTATATTTTACTAAATTTTTGCGAATTTCATACAATATCTTTTGATCATATTTAGATTTTTCTCCCATATCTGCACTCCTTTACCCCTTTACAAATGCCCCACCAAATTTCTGTACTCTAAACTCAGGTTTTTGTCCTCAAATGCCTTGCAGGGTGGCTGTTTTCGTTTTGTTTGAGACAGGGTCTGGCTATGCAGCCCTGGCTGGCCTTGAACTCACAAAAAAACCTGCCTCTGCCTCCCAAGTGCTGGGATTAAAGGCGTGCACCACATGCAAAGCTTATTTTTAATTTAATTTATTTTTATGTGCATGAGTGTTCACCTTGTGCATGAGATTCACCGTGTGGCTTTATGTCTCGGTTTCTCCTCCTGTATTCATATGTACCACATTCATGCAGTGCCTGAGGACGTTAGAAGAGGGTTTTGGATCCCCTGGAACTGGAGTTATGCATGGTTGTTATCGGCCATGGGGGTGGTGGGAACTGAACCCAGCTCCTCTGCAAAAGCCACTGCTTTTTTTTTTTTTTTTTAAGATTTTTAAAATTTTTTATTTTATGTATATGCCTATATTGCCTGCATGTAGGTAAGTGCACCCATGTCGTGCAATGCCCCCGGAGGTCAGAAGAGGCTGTCAGATCCCCTGGGACTGGAGTTACAGACAGTTGTTAGCTGCCATGTGGGTGCTGGGATTCCAACCCCAGTCTTCCGCAAGAACAGTTAGTGTTCTTAACTGCTGAGCCATCTCTCCAGCCCCAAAAGCCAGTGCTTTTAACTGCTGAGCTAGCACCAGCCCCTATTTATTTTTAATTATATGTGGTGTCAGGGTGCAGGCATGCCAACTTTCAGGAACTGGTTCTGTTCTCCCAACATGTGTGACCCAGGGAAGGAACTCAGGTTATCAGGCTTGGCTGAACACTCCTCTACTGACAGAGCCATTTCACCAGCTCCTAGCCAGACTCAACCCACCGAGCCTCCATGAGCCCATCTGCAAAATGGAAGTCTGACCACATCCTCCTTCATTCATTCCATAAACATTCTCACAGCTCTACAGTAGTCTAGGTGATTTCAGAATCAGGACCCCCCCCCCCAACATTCTGAGATTAGTCTTGGGTCATAACTGTTGCCATGATTTTGAGGCAATTAACCGTATGTTGGGGGCATGGGACCCCAAATGATTTGTTCAACACAGATTCACCTTGTGGCTTTGTGCCTCAGTTTCTCCTCCTGCCCCTAACTTTTTATGTAGGGTTTGCCCCACCCCCCAACTCCTTCCACCACTGGATTCACCAGCAACTTTGTCTGTTAAAAATGGAGGTTTTTATTGGTTTTGGTCCACAAGGGTTTTTTTCACATTATCTTCTGGGTGCAGGGAGCCCCTAGGGGTGGGTCACGTGCAGCACTTGTGGGTGGGGTGGGTCCAGGACAGTTACAGGGCAAACAGGAGAGCTTGTGAGGTTCCAAACCCAGAGGGACCTCAATTTCCCCAAGTCTGTGAGTCTTAGGGAAACCAACACAGCTCCCCAACCTCTTGAACACTCTAAGGCCTTGGGTGCATCTTGCAGCACTGCACCCTCCACTCCTTTCCCTGGAGGGTTAAAACAAAAACCACACTTTTTTCTTTTCTCGAAACTGCCTTAAGTTTCTGTGGGTTCATAAACCACAAACTAGTGCGGAAGAGATGAAGGAACCAGAAACTATAAGGGCTAATCTCACCCTCCAAAACACACAAAGCTTGCCCACCCCATAGCCTGCTGGGAAACCCACAGCCTGGCTCTCTCACAGGGACTCCCACCCTGGTCCTCTGTCTGGTGGGTTAGCCCTGGGAAGGAAGCAAAGGATGATGGGAGAAAAAAGTCAGGCCCAGATAACACAGACCTGTCACCCCAGACCTCAGAGAACTGAGGCAGGAGGATTGCTGTGAGTCCCAGGCCATAGTGAGGCCCAGTCTCAAAAAACAAACAAAAAAAATAAAACAAAAAAAAGACCAGAAAAACACAGAAAAACCAAATATCCCCACAGGATGCTGATATGGGGTACTGGCACCTGTGGTACTCAGTACCTGGCTTCTTCCTGGTAGTAGGCAGGGAACTCGGGGGTCTCACCTGGGCCTTCGCCCCCTGATGGAGCATCGGCCGCTGGGCCCTGTGGGCAGTACTTGGGGTCATAGATCTGCCGCCCCAGACCAAAGACCTGGCCGCTTTGGTTGGCACCCTGGCTGTAGCCCATCTGCAGCGACAGGGAGGAGCTGTCACACTTGTCTGTGCCCAGTTTCGTGTCGTAGATGTGTCTGCGGGTCCCTGGAGCTGTCATGCCAACCTGGGGAGGGAAGGGCAGGTGTCAGGGTAGAGAGGGTGGCCCTGATTCCCTAATACCCCCTGCAATTCCAGACAGGGTTTTCAAAGTTTAACTGGAAAATTTTTACTTTTTTCTGAGTTAGGGTCTCTTATAGCCCAGGCTGGTCTTGAACTTGCCACATAGCTCAGGATGACTCTTCCTGATCCTTCTGCCTCTACCTCTCCAGTGCTGAGATGACTCATGTGCACTAGCACATTTGGTTTATGTGGTGCTAGGGATGAACCCAGGACCTCATGCATGCTAGGTTATCACTCTACCCACCCAGCAACAAACACTCTATCCACTGAGCTACAAGCACTCTACCCAGTGAGCACAGTCCTTTGTGGGAAACTGAGGCACAGAATGGGATGCTCACTTTCCCTGTGAGGTGGAAAGGGCCCTGAGGCTGGAATCCAGACAGGAGACCCCAGGACATGGTAGACCTCACCTGGCTGGCGCACTTGTTTGTCCCCATCTGCAGGCTGATGGTGCAGTGGTCCATGGGTGGCAGGATGTGGTTCTTGGGATCATAAAGATGCCTTCTGGTACCATAAGCTGTCATGCCTGACTGGCTGGCACACTTATTGGTCCCCATCTGTAGGGAGATGCATGGAGGGAGGTCAGGGTGCCTCTCCCCGGACCCCCCAGGAATACGAGAAGGGTCAGAAGGAGTCTCACCTACCTGCAGCCCGATGACACACTGGCCAGCCTTCAGGGTGGCATCATCAAAGTTCCTCTGCTGCTTCTCCGAGTATTTGACCCCAATGTCCACCCCGCTCTGCAGACCCTTGGTCTTGGCCTGGGTGGGGTGAGGGGATGGCGGAACCCCAGTCAGCAAGTGGCAGTCAGCCAATACAGCTCCGTATGATATCTACCACTGTACTCTGCCTGGACACCCAGCTGGCCTCTTTCCAGAATTAGGAAAGCTTTTTTTAAAAAAAAATTTATTTATTATTTTTATTTTATGTGTATGAGTGTATTGCCTGCATGTATGTGAGTGCACCCATGCCATGCAATGCCGCGGTCAGAAGAGGGCTTCGGATTCCCCTGGAACTGAAGTTAAGGACAGTTTGTAGCCGCCATGTGGGTGCTGGGAATCAAACCCAGGTCCTCTCCAGACCCCCCCCCCTCTTTTTGAGACAGGGTCTCCCTGTAGACCCAGCTGGCCTGGAACTCACTATAACTTGCTATATAGACCAGGCTGGCCTTGAACTCACAGAGATCCGCCTGCCTCTGCCTCCCAAGTACGGGGACTACAGGCATGCGCCACCACACCTGGCTCTTGGCTGGCCTCTTTCCTATCCTTCCAACCCCAAAACAGATCCTTCCTTTCTCACTACTTAGCCAAGGCTGGCCTGGAACTCACCATGTAGCCCCAGCTGGCCTCAGTCTCACCAAGAGCCGCTTGCCTCTGCCTCCCAAGTGCTGGGATAACAGGCCAGCACCATTCGCTCAGCTATAGTGACTCCGGATGTAAGTGCTCCTCTGGTTTCCCGAATCTAGTTCATAGGCTGCATCTTTGCTGTTCCCTCTGCCTTCGACACTATTCCACCCTTGCTCTGTCTGGGTTTGAAGGGTGGCAGACAATAGACAGCAATCCAGTCCTTTCTCCTCCTGGCTCACCTTCCCTGCCAGTGCCAGGAGAGACACCTGCACCTGTGTCAGGTTCCCATTCTCGAACAGGTCGTTGGCCTCAAACAGATCTACAGGGTTCATGCCGTAGCTCACCATGGCCTTGATGAAGTTGGACAGGTTTTCTAGCTGGGGGGAGGTGGGAGAATAGCGGTAAGTAGGTCTCAGTCTACCCATCTGCAGGATGGGTACCCAGTCTGTCCCCTCCCCTCAGGCCCCTCACCTGGTGCCAGTTCTGCTGGGACCGGTTGATCTTGGGGACAGAGCCTGGTTGTAGTTTGTTCATGAGTCTGTGGACAGACAACACCAGAAACCCCTGTTAGCACCAGAGGAACCTGGAGACCTGAATCTGAGTTTCCACCTAGCCTCAATTTTCCTTCACCCACTGAGCAGAGGAAGCTGCCAAACAATGGTGCTATGAAAATTATTGTGATCCAAAAATTTTTGGCAAGTCTTGGACTCTCCATTCCAGTACTTTTAGGGTGCAAAATGATGGACTATCTGAATCGGGGGTGAATCCCATGCTGAAAGCATGGCTTCCAGGAGGGTTAGCTGCTGACCCAGAAAACGACAGTTGCAGGGCCAGGTGCTTGAAGCCAGAGAGAACAGAGAGAAGACCACAAAATATGGGAGAGACGGGGCTGGAGAGATGGCTCAATGGTTAAGAGCACTGACTGCTATTGCAGAGGACCCAGGTTCAATTCCCAGCACCCACATGGTGGCTACGAACCGTCTTTAACCCCAGTTCCAAGGGAACCTGAAGCCCTCTTCTGACCTCTGTGGCATTGCACGACACGGGTGCACTCACATACATGCAGGCAATACACTCATACATATAAAATAAAAATAATAAAATATTTAAAAAAATACGGCAGAGACAAGAAAAAAGAAACAAAGGTGCGACACGGAGGGAGGAACAAGCACCCAGTGGCTGTGTGGGAGCACTCACGTGCACAGGATAACCCCATCTTTCAGACCCTTCTGGAAGTCAGGCCCGATGGAGAGGCCTGTCAGTCCCTCAATCCAGCTGCGGAGCTCGGCTTCCTTCTGGGGGTCATATTTAGACAGGAGCTGGAGGGGCAAAAAGATGGGGTTCAGCTGGGGTGCTTGGGGGAAGAGACCAAGGGGCTTGGAAGATCTCAGCCCAATGGGGCTGGTGTGGTTATAACACTGATAAGTTGGGCTGGAGAGATGGCTCAGCAGTTAAGAACACTGGTTGTTCTTGCAGAAGACCCGGGTTCGAATCCCAGCACCCACATGGCAGCTGACAACTGTCCGTAACTCCAGTTCCAGGGGATCCGACAGCCTCTTCTGGCCTCCTCGGGCATTACACAACACAGGTGCACTGCACTTACCTATATGCAGGCAATACACACATACACAAAATTAAAAAAAAAAAACACTGATAAGTTCTACCCCCACTGTGCCAGACTTACTAACGTCCAACCCCCACCAATCCCCCCATCTCCTTAACCACATCTCAGTGGTATTTAATATACCTATATACTTTTCTGGTTGTTGTGAGACAAGGTTTCACTATGTAGACCAGGCTGTCCTTGAACTCAAGAGCTCCACCTGCCTCTGCCTTCCAAGGGCACTACACCTGGCCAATCTGTGCTTTGTTTTTTTCAGACAGGGTCTCTTGTAGCCCATACTGGCCTTGAATTCACTATGTAGAAAAGGATGACGTTAGACTCCTGATCTTCCTGCCTCCACTGAGTAGGTCTAGAAGGAACCCAGGACATCATGCATACTAGGTAAGCACTCCAACAGCCACAAGCACTTCGCCAGCTGAGCTACATCCTCAGCCTGTCTCACCTGTTCTGCACATTTCCCATGAGTGGAGGTCTTTGGTGTCTGGTGTCTCTCTCCCTTCTCTCACTGAAGGTCTATCCACACTATAATTCAGAACCCTATTCTTCTTCATGGCTAAGGAATATTCCAGCACACAGGGCCTCTATCATATGTGTGTTCATATGTGTGTCCACCCACTGCCATTTGAGTTGTCCCCACCTCTTTTTTTTTTTTTTTTTTTGGTCTTTTTGAGACAGGGTCTCCCTGTAGCCCCAGATGGCCTGGAACTCACTATGTAGACCAGGCTGGCCTTGAACTCACAGAGATCCACCTGCCTCTGCCTCCCAAGTGCTGGGGTTAAAGGCATGCACCAGTAGGCCCGGCCTGTTCCCCACTATCGGACTGTTCTGAGTAGCGCTGGATGCCGTGTTCCCACCTGTTTCTATCCTCCCTGGGTGTAAACTCAGGAGTGGCCCCGCAGGTCACATGGTGATTCTTTGTTCAGCCCAGTGAGGAATCACACAATTTCTGTCCTGCCAACTGTGGTTCCTTTGCACAAACTCTGCTGACTACAAAAGTCTTTTCAAAATTTTTATTAATTTGATTATGTATGCCTGCAGGAGTTGTCTTTCTCCTTCACCAGATCCAAGGATTGAACTCAGTCTTCAAGCTTGGCCACAAGTCACTTTACCCACTGCTAAGCCCTCTCTCCAGCCCCTAAGATTCTTGTATAGCTTAGTCTCTCCCTCAAATCCAGTGAGAAATGACCATTCCCTTCCCTGGGCACCCTGCCCACCTCAGCACACTGTACACATGCCTCCCGGGTATCCTTGCTTATTATGGTCTGCCTTCCATGAGGTGTGCCATTACCCCAGGCGATCCCTAAACACCTTCCCACAGCCTCACACCTGCTCTATGTAGGTGCTGGGAAACCAAACCCTGGTACTCAGCAGAGCAGCCAGTGCTGTTCACCTATGAGCCCCACATTCTGATCTTTTTAAGCCCTTTGAAGTGGGATTAGGCCAAGTGATCGGGAGACAAGGGCAGGAGGAGTGGCCACTAACAGATCAGGTTCTCATGGCCGGGCCTGCAGGAATGAGTGAGGGTGATGGACTGGGAATGCCACGTCCCCGCCCGCAGTTCTGAGGACTAGGGTGGGGCAGCCACTTCCCTCCCCCACTGCCCTTCAGTACACTCCTTCTCAGTTGAATCTGAACCAGCTGTTCCCCTGGGGCCGAGATGAACAAAGCTACACCAGACTGGAGGCCAGTGGTGGGGAGCAGGGTAAACTGAGGCACTTGTGCCTGTAAGAATGTTCTCTGGGTTTCCCCTCCCAGAGGATGAGACCCTTCTGTGACCAGCAGCAGGTTGGTATAGGTCATGCCCATCAGAGACACTGGGTCATAGTGGACCTCTGACCTCAAGCCTGAAGCAGCTCTTCCAGCCACCATGCCCTTGGGGTGTCCCACATCTCTATCCCACTTCACCCCAGGGGGACATCGAGACCCCCAGGACCCAGGCAGAACCACTGACTTACACTCCATGCTGTGTGTCTCTGAGATGCTGAAGCGACCTCTCTGATCTCTGAGTGGGCTAAGGGTAGGGACATACTGAGACCTAAATGCTCGGCTAGTTGGGTGTACCCCAGTTTTAGGATGTCCCCCTCATTTCTGTGGGTGTGACTGGGCAGGTTCCAGTCGGAGGCAGGGTGCCGGGCTTGCTGACTGTGACACACAGGTGTCCAGTGGGTGTGTGTGGTGTTAGATCTATCTAGAAGGTTTCAGAATATCAGGCCTGACCACCCCACTCCCAAGTCTTGGATGGGCGTCATACTCTGGGCCTTGGGATGCTTTGTCCCTCTCTTATTAAAGTTTCCCCCTCAACCCCCCTCAGTTTTTTGCAGGAGACAAACTTCACACACTTTAGGGTCCCATTTGGGAGGATCCTTTGGAGGGAGGGGGTGACTACATTTGGACACTTAGATCTACAAATGACTTTGGCCACCCCTCTCCAACCCTCTCCCAGGTGTGTGGGGGCAGGGGAGAGGAAGGGGAAAAGTCCTGGGAGGGAGACGCCCTGTTTAAGAAGCCACTGGCCCCGCCCCCTTCCCCTCACCAATTTAAGCGGTTTCAGAAAGGGGAAGTTTAGCCAGGTGACAGGGAGGGGTCTGCAGGGGTCCTCTGAGACCCCCCCAGCTCTGAGGCTTTGCATTCTTCAAGGGGTTCAGGATATGGGAAACCCACCCCAGGTCCTGGCAAACCCTGGAGTGTTGGGAATATGAGGGTCCCCCTTCTCCGAGACCTCACGGCGCCCCAGATTTTCAGGACCGTACGCCCCCTTCCGCACCATCCTGTTAGGGGGAGACCCTCTCTATGTGGCCTAGATACTGCACGAATCCCAGCGTCGCGGGGCCGCGGGGGGTGGTGGGGACCCGGCATCCACTCACCCGGTTCTTCACCTCTGCCGAGAGCCCGTAGGACGGGCCCTTGTTAAACTGCGTGGAGCTCATGGCGTGGGACCCTCAGGCGGGACCGGACAGGGACCAGAGGGACCGGCCGCTGGCGGGGGACGGGGACGGATCTGGGCGCCGCCCCCCAACGCTGATTGGCGGGGAGAGCAAATGTCCTTATAAGGCGTGGAAGCGCCGAATTCCTGCGGCCGCGACTTCCTGAGTTCCCCTAGACCGCCGCTGACCCCCGCCCCGCGGAGCCACTCCAGCCCAGAGCCGGCGGGGTGGCGCACATTCCCCATCCTGTTTGGAGTTAAATGAAACTGAGGCAGAGAGCGGCACAGGACTACCTCCCAGCTGGGAGCGACCGAGCGGCTTTCCTACCTAGACTCGGTGTCAGTTCCACTCTTTCTATTTTAGTGAGAAATATGGAGCCATCAGGTGGGACCCTAAATCCGAAACTCCGAAACGCTAGCCCCTCTCGGCCACTTTCAGTCACTCACCAATTTGTCCTCTTCCCTGGAACTCTGGTAGCTAGGGGATGGACAGGAGTACCAGGCTCTTCAGAGGACCTGGCCTGGGCACTGGGGTTTGGACTTTTGAGTAGGAGCTTGCTGGTCCCCGTCTCCCAAACGGATCTGACTCCTTGATAGAATAAAAAGGTGGAAAACTAAAGTGGGATCAACTGGGGGAGGAAACCAAGGAGAAGAGCATCCTTGAGGAAGGCTGAGAGCCAGAAGGTGCTTGGGACATAAGGCTGGTATACAGTGGGTATTTAATAAGTGCTTGAGCTCAATCCACATCAGCAGATAAAGAAATGAATGTGGTGTGATGTCACATGCCTGTCATCCCAGCACTCAGGAGGTAGAGGTAGGATGATCCCAAGTTCAGGGTCATCCTCTGATACAGGGGCCAGCCTGGGCTACAGGGGACCCTGCTTCAAAACAGACACAACACAAAACAAGCTAATCCTAGCACTCAGGAGGTGGATCTCTGTGAGTTCAAGGCCAGCCTGGTCTACATAGTGAGTTCCAGGACAGCTGGGGCTATAGGGAAGCCCTGTCTCAAAAAAACAAAACAAAAACAAAAAAACAAAACAAAACAAAAAAAACAACTTTAAAATAATTAAAATTAAATAAATAAATCTAATTTCATCTGTCTTGTTCCCACGGTGACTGGAAAACTTGAACTGACCTGTGCTGTGTCTCTAAGTTGCTATTGTGACATCTCTGTTCTGACTGGAGGACCAAGTCCAGCACCTCTCTCTTTCTGTCCAGCGCCCCTGAGCTCAGAATGGTTTTTGGTTTTTGCTTTTTGAAGTGGTTGAAAGAAAGAAAGAAACAAACAAAAATCAAAGAATGAAAATTATTCCGTGCCATATGGAATTTACAGTCCATTCCAATCCCAGGCTCTGTGTGATTCTTTAGGAACTCACAGCTGCATGGTTTGTATGAACCTAGAATCTGTAAGGCTTTTCCCCCCACAAACTGAGCCCAGCTTTGCCTACTCAGCAAAGTTGAGATCTTTTTTCCCTGTCTGGCTGGTCTCGACTGCTATCTGAGGAAAACCAGGCACTCAAGAATTGGGGTTTCTGACAGATTCATATATCATAATCCTAAACCTGAGACTTCACGGGTATGGAATTAAAATTCTATATGGGCTGGTGCTGTGGCTCAGTGTGTAGAGTGCTTATAGTGTAAAATTGAAACCACAAAGGACAAGTCGAGCCCTCGAGTTGCAAAAGCAAGAGGCTTTTATTTTACACAGGTACCTGTGGGCACAGCTCCTGACAAAGGGAGAAGCGCGCTCCAGGTCTGGGGTTTGGGGTCTTTATAGGGCAGAAGCAGTTTACAGAAGCAGAAGCGTGGTTATTGGTTAGTTTAAACTATTACAAAATGCTATAGGGAGAGCGGGGGGGCTTACTTATCATTAAGCCAGATGTTTCAACCATAAAACTTACTTATCAGTGAGTTGGAGATGTCTCAGCCATGAAACTCACTAATTAGTGAGTTGGAGATATCTCGGCCATGAAGCTTACTTATCGGCAAGTTGGAATTCTTGACCGGTACGTGACCTGCCTGAGACGTGACTTGCCTGAGAGGCTTCATGGCTCCTGATCTTTATGTTTTTCAATAGCTTAGTGGTAAAGTGCTTGTAGCTCAGTTGGGTAGAGTGCTTATAATTCAGTGGGTAGAGTGTTTACCTCAGTGGGTAGAGTACTTGTACCTCAATGGGTAGAGTGCTTGGATCTCAGTGGGTAGAATGGTTGTAGCTTAGTGGGTACAGTGCTTGTACCTCAGTGGATAGAGTGCTTGTAGCTCAGAGGGTAGCATGCTCACCTAGCATGCACAATACCCTAGGTCCACCTCCAGCGCTGCATAAACCAGGTGTGGTGACACACACCTGTCATCCCAGCACGTGGGTGGTGGAGGCAGAAGAACCGAGAGTTAAGGGTCATCCTCTGCTACATAGTGAGTTTAAGTCCAGCCTAGGCTACATGAGACCCTGTCTCTACCCACCCTGAAAAAAATCTGTGTAATTTTAAGACTTCTATGTTTCCAACCCTGTGGAGTCTGGGTTCAAATCTGTTCCCCTCTTGGCTGTGTGATGCTAGGTACTGGTCAGCCCAGGGCTCCTGGTCTGTAAACAGACGCATTAATGCTTGCACAGTGCGGAGGGTGTGTGTGTGTGTGTGTGTGTGTGTGTGTGTGCCTAAGAGAATAGCCAAAGTTATGCTGATAGGCTCTCTTTTAGCACGAATGAGGCCTGGAAGTCTCTCATAGTACTGTATCACATCACTGTCTTCATGCCAATAGATTCTAGGCCATAACTGTACCAGCACACAGAAGTCTTGAGTAAAATTTAAGACCTCTAAAGATACACAAGGTGTCAAACCAGAATTACATGCCCAGTAGGTGCCTTCGGGGGGAATTAGATAAGTTCCCATCTCAGTGGGGGCATTCTTAATCTCTGAACATTGTTGGAATCCTTTGGGCTTACTCCCAATATAGGTTCCCTTGGAGGAGACTTGGGTCAAGGTTAGAAAGTGGGTGGTTCCGGCACAGGAGGGAGGATGAGCAGAACTGGAGTTTATTACTGTATAGTTTCCTGTAATAGCAATTCCCTCATAGTAGGGGGGGCTGGGGTTGAGACACAGCCAGCAATTCTTCGTCTTATTAGGCTCAGAGTGGTTCAGGGCCTGGAAAGCGCCCCTGACAAGGTTCAAGAGCCTATCTCCTGTCCCTGGGTAGGTAGAAAATGGGACAGTGGTTGGGGAAAGGCTGGCGTTGGCAACCATCGTGGGGGAAGGTACTGGTATCACCATGGGTTTAGGTGCCGGTTTGGAAGGAGGCCCCTTGTCACTTAGCACAGGATTGGGGCCTATTGCTATAGGCTTAGGCTCAGTAACGAGCCTTCTGATTGTGAAACGGAGCCCATCAACTTTTCCTTCTTGATATACTCGGAGTCCCCAAGTGTATCCTTTGTCCCAATTGAGAAGTATGTTTCTACCATGGGTTGTAAACTCTATGCGAAGGGGGTGGCACCATTTTCTATTACAGTCAGGTATCATCTTTCTATACTCTTTCCAGCTCCCGTGGGAGTAATTAGCTTTTACAGTGACATAGTCCCAGGATGAGGAGGGTTTCCAGTAAGCGTCCCCAGTGGTTTCGCACCCCCAACTTTTGCAATAATAATAATCTTCCCCCCCACATTTAGAGTTAATCCACTTTGGCCTATGATATCCGGGGCAAACATAGAAAGTTAGGGTACGCAGCAGGGCCCTTCGCTCTGCTGAGCCACAGTTTGGCCATGTCCTATATGGCCAGCCCTTTGGCGGGGGGTTGGGGGGCTCGTCCTCTTCGGCATCCTCGAGACCCCATGGCCCTGGAATCCCTATAGCTAACTTACATAAGTCTGGGTATAGGGTAGGCCACCAGGTGTTTTTAGGGGCGGTTTGCTTAACTTCAAAGACCACAATGCCCATTTGATTGATTACTTGCCAAGTGGTGGGTAGGGCAGTGTGTGGACTCCTGACTTTCACCCAAGCGATGAGTGGGTCAGCGTCCTCACTCGGGGCCCCTATGCCGATGGTTGCCAGAAACCCCAATAGAAGGAGCATTATCTTTACTTTTGTTTGACCAGTCTTATCTTTAGGGGATTGGTGGTTCGAGCCAGTTGCCATTCTTCTTCTACAGGAGCTTCTTGATGTTCTGGATTGGCCGCTTTTACGTGTGATGCGTGGACCCAGGAGGCGATGCCGTCCACTTTGAGCGCGGTGGGGGTGGTTAGCAGGACAGTATAGGGTCCCTTCCAGCGAGGCTCTAGGCTCCGGCTCTGGTGTCTGCGTACCCAGACAGAATCCCCCGGCTGGAAAGGATGGGGAGCAATAGGGGTGTTAATAGCATCCTTATAGGCGGCTGCCAAGGGTGCCCAAATCTCTTCATGGGCCATCTGCAGCGCCTTCAGGTGAGCAAGAAG